GGGTAAGGTGATCAAGACACAATACGCACCCAATTACTGACTACCTTAGAAAACAGAACAGCAGATAGAACTGGAAAGCGATCATACAAGAATTAATGACTGAAACGAAAGTAGCAACTCTGTCGTTTGGCTACCAGAACTCGAGAACACATAACCTCTTAGAAAATGACAACGATACGAAGTAAATGGAGCGCATAAAAATCGGGAGGCCATACTTCACCCCATTGATATTTAAGAAATACTACACGCCGCGATAATCAAGTACTATTTGATCGGATAAAACGTCCCAACGTTCAGGATACTGGAATAAGCAGAGAAAATCGAAAAAGTTAGTGACAAAACAGAATCGCCAGTACAAATCGAACTTTATTGCCTTAGAACACCATCTTGTGAGGATATTCCTTACTGCTTAATGAAAACATAGACTTCAAGTAGGCCGGCAGTATCTTTGAAGACTTGTGTTTCTTGATTGCTTTAATCAGGGAGAGATCCACGTCCTTCTGGATCTTTTTCCTTTCGTCCGAAACGGAATATTTCTGAAAAGAACGAAAGTAAGCCGTTTCAAGCAAGCCTTTACAAGAATAATTTTGTAGTATTAGCGGTCGGGGATGTCTGATTGCAGCCATCTTCCCACCTGCACCCTATATCAGCAGCAAAGTCGCGCATACGCACAATACAGGAATATCCAACAGAATTTCTTGAGAAGGCGTCTATGATGCAGAAGCACTCCGAAAACAAAGTCATAACCAATCCAAGGGCAGCAAAATGCCGTCCTAATCGGTCCTAACTGATCTAGAGGCTATGCTTCATTTCTAATGGGACCGAAAACCTGACACCGGCAAAGTGTACTTCTATATATCATGACTGCTTGAAAATAAAAGCAAATAAAATAAGTGAATGCATAGACAACGTCAAAGCTCGGTAGATTGAGAAAACTACCTTTGGCTCCTCAGCGAAAAGCTTGTCCACATTCTTGGTCTTCGGTTTGAGGTCTACACGACGGAAGAAAGTGTCCGTGAGAGCCTTTGGTACGTTAACATTGGAGATGTTAATCCTTGTTTTGGTCGCAATGACATACCTCTGGTTTACCCGACGAAGAGGAACGCCGTTAAATTTGAAAGGACCTTAAGCAGGTAAAACAATACGCCTAAGTACCAGTTACAAGTAGTAATCCGCTGTCGAGGGCCTTAAGAAGTACCACACGTTTGCCCTTGTGCTTGCCAGCAAGGAGGATAAGAACAGTGCCCGGCTGCAGTGACGAGCGAATGTGTCGC